CAAGAGTATAACTTTACTGATAGATCCATATAGGCACAGTAGAAAGCAAAGCCAGTTCTGACTTTTTGCTTGAAAACTGCATAGTTAAAATCCCCCTTTTCCTGCCTAGGCCACCCACTGTCCAGTGTCTACCAATCCAATGCAATCTCTTTGTCTGCTTGGCTCAGAAGGCTCTCATCGTTCGACCTTGAGGTGTCGAGATTCTCCCAGGCCGCAGACGGTGCACATGAACTCCTCAATTCCCTCCCAGCCACCCATACATTCCAATCATTCCTCCCCCCTCCCTGGTTTCTGTTGTCAAGCTTCGAGTGAAAGTGTAGAATGAGTCGGCCTTGACAAAGGTATATGGATTGGGTACTACTGCATGGAGAGTGAGGGTGTCCCATCTGGTTTCTTAACAGGTAACACTTGGGTGTTCCAAGGTGAAGATGTTTGGGTTATAAGTCCCCATTCTAGGAAGTCTTGTATTATGGGCTGAAGACCTTGCTTTGCCTCCCATTTAATATATTTTATATTGGCCACTTGTCCTCCCGGGGCTAAGGCGACCATGATTGGCTCAGTGAAAACTGCCATTCCTAGCTGCCCCGCTGCCCTAACCCAAGGTTTCACAGCATGTTCTATTTCTGGTGAGTGTGATGACCCGGGACATGGCACAGAGGCAGCACAGTCAGCTGACAGTTCAAACCACCCCTTTATTGCTCAAAATGTTCCCCAAATGCTCCTACGTTTCTGGCAAGTCCCAGAGCAAAGTGACGATACACACACACACACACCTCCAGCAGCCTCTGGCTGCAAGTAGTCCAGCACAAAGCTCTGAGCACAACGGCTGCCAAAGCAAGAAATCCAGCAGGGCAAGGGACTAAATCAATTAGTCCAGGAAGCAAGAAATAAAGCAAGAAGTCCAGGAAACGTCCAATGTCAGCAACGGCACACAACCCTCCATGAATTCAGCATTTGTTCCCAACAAACGCCCCTCCCCACAGCGTATCCTTAAGTCTCAGTCCCCAGGTGTGCCTTGTGGAGAGGGGCGGGGTGCTCTCCTCCCGAGTAGTCGGGTCAGCCTGTGCTGCTCCTGCCTTCTCCACTCTCCGTGCTTGAGGCTCAGGAGGGGGTGGTCCTTGCTCATCGCCTGAGCTCTGTCTCTCACGTTCACTGCTTAGCTTCTCTTGGTCATCCTGCCCCTGTTCCTCCCTGCCTACAAGCCTTCCCAATCCTGAAAGGCCCTGGCCTGCTTCAGCCTGTTCCTCCCCATATTCCTCCGAAGCCAACGACGCCTCCCCCTTGATCTCCGTGGGCTCCAGCTCCGGCTCATCTTCCTCCGCAGATTCAGGCTCCAACGGGGTCATGACAGTGAGATTGGGGGGGGTGGTCTTCCTTTATTACTAAAGTGGTTGCTCTCCATATTTCTTCTTGGGGTATTTTCATCTTTATCTTTTCCCCTTTGCATGTTATGGTTGCTTGCAGTTTACTAAGGATGTCTCTTCCCAGAAGTGGGACTGGACACTCAGGCAAATACAAAAACTGGTGAGTTAATACAGTGCGCCCTATTTTACATTCCAATGGCTGCAAGAATGGGGCTGATATGACCTTTCCTAAGGCCCCAACAATGGGGCCTCCATCGGTAGTTTGGGGAGCAATAGGTTTATAATGGACTGATCTGCTTGTTCCTGTTTCTATTAGCATTTGGTGCTTAGTTCCCCCAATTTGGACTTCCACCAGGGTTTCGGGGGTAGGGGGAGCAATAGCTCCCTGCCCCTGGCCCCTTCATTCTTTTCTACCTGCATGACTGTAGTCACCAGGCACTCATTCTTCCAATGTCCTTCCTTTTTGCAAATGGCACACTAGTTGGGTCCCAAGGGGACCCTCCCTTTTCCACACCCTTTACTGTAGGTGGAGTAGTGTGCCCTGCCTCAGGTTCCCTGAACTCCCCCTCCTCACCCACATCTTCCGCTTTGTTGCTCCCTTCCTCCTCCCCTTTCCTGCTTCAGGGCATTGGCTAGGAAGATGGCATTTCGATGGGCCTTCTGAACTTCCTTCATATCTTCTTGTCCTCTGTTGGTGAAGACTTTATAAGCTATCTCAACTAACTCTGAGGTGCCTTTCTCTGGACCTCCTTCCACCTTCTGTAACTTTCTCCTAATATCCTCTGCCAACTGTCCTATAAAGATCATATTTATCATCCTCTGGTTGTCAGGGGCTTCCAGATCTAAATCAGTATATTACCTGAAAACCTGATATACTCTCTCTCAAGAAAGTCCCCAGGACTTTCATCCTTCTTTTGCCTAATTTCATAAACCTTTGAGAGGTTCTTAATTTTGGGAACTCCATTTTGGATTCCATATAGGACCAAGGAATGATAATTCTGAAGCCTCTCATTGTCCATGGAATTCCCCAGATTCCACTCTGGCTCCATGAGGGGGGCATTCCCAGTGCTTATCATTATTATGTTCTGTCTTTAATTGCTGCTCCATTGCTCCCCTCACCAACCTTCGTACTGCTGGTGTTAGAAGAACATCCATCAATGTCTGAATATACCCAGGTGGGGTTATGTGTTCTAAAGATAGAAAGAAACAGAGAATGCATTTTCTCTGGGTTTTCCCTATAACAGGGTTTTTGCTGTTTCCAATTGTAGAGATTCGAAGTAGAAAATGGGGTGTAAACTAACACTCGGCATAGTTGGTTTCCTGCTCCTGCCACTATAGTTTCCCTGAATGTAGCCTGCATCTCAGGTTTTAGCTCAGTTTGGGACCGAGTGTCATAGGAGTGTCTCGTCACCTGATCTCTTTGTTCTCTAGCTGCCACGGCCCTCTGGGACTTCCTCACCACCTGGGGTAGTTCGTCCCACAGGTAAACAAGGAGTGGCAAGTCAGTCTCAGAGTCCTCCGTTATAACCAGGGGAGCACTGGGTTTCTTTAACTTAGGATCCTATGCTGTGAATACAAAAGTTCCTTCACACCCACAGTCTTGCAACAGAAATGGACTGTTTGCCAATTTTACAAAGAGTTCCAAGAACTGAATCTCAATATGATGTTTCTGTTCCAATTGATCCTTGTGGACAAAAATTATAAGTATGGCCATACTGACATGCAGTAGTGAGAAAAGGCTGCCTTAGTTCCTATATCCAATCCCCTTAAATTTATGCAACCCACTCGCGTGTTTTTGGGCAGTTTCCCTTTCGGCCACTTCGTTGCACCTCGACCAAGTGCCTTTTTACTGCCACTGTTTCCCATTTTTTAAAGGCCGAATTTCAGGTGGATACCCCTTATCCCCTGGGAATGTTTCCTATTCGGTCCTTACCTTTTATTCTTGTAAATTCCTGTCCCTTCTGTCCCTTTTGCCAGTGGATGTTCCTGCTCCTCGATTTCTTTGGGGTTTCAGCCTTTGGGTTCGACTAAGATGCCACCAAGGACCTGCACCAGGGCTGGGTTTTCATTTAGACAGTGGCTTATTACATTCAATCAAGCCACTCTCAGCATCAGTGGGACACGCGGATCTCTGGAATGTCCCATGCGTTCCAAGGTTCCCAGTCATTGCCCAGAGAGGCTTGTGGGACTTGGGGGTGGCTGACGTATACAGAAACAGAGAGTCCTGGTCACCAACCAGGAATTTATCTTAGACCATTCACACACCTTTCAGCCACTAGTCTTACCCATCCAGGGGCCCTCCTCCAGTGGTTGTTGGTGTCTTCCAGTCAAATCCAGGCACGGATCCCGGACAAGCCCCCAGATTGTTGCCCCAAATTTGGGTCTGAGCCTGGTGCCAAAGCCAATGAAGATCATCAGACTTGAGGTGCATGGTTGATTTCCTTTTATTGAAGCACTTCAGCAAAAGGGGTCCCAGCCAGCAAAGTGCTAGGACCCAGAACAAAGAATTGAACAAGTTTTTATACAGTTTTCTAAGGCAGGATGTAGATGCCTAACAAATATCCTATTGGCTCCATGCCATCCATATTCCTAAATTTCAACTGATAGATACTTCAGGAATTATCTAACAGGCTTTCTATTGGCTCCATGCCATCCCTATTCCTACATCTTAGATAATGGTTACTTCAGGAATTATCTAACAAACACTCTGTTGGCTCTATATCTTCCCTCTTCCCTATCTTAGCCATATGTCTGGTTTGGTATGCATGGTATGTCCGGCAATCGGCTCTTAACCTTTGACCATTCAAGTACACACTTCCTGCTTTCCTTTGATCTCTGTTAGGCAGGCTCTGCATATCTCCTTCTTCCTGTTTGTGTACATGCCAGAACAATGAAGAGCTGACTCATCAGTTGAAATGTTTTTCTGCACTTCAGAAAATAGTTTAATTTTACTTTCCCTTTCTAAACTGCTTATCATCCTGATCACTCCTCAAGGTGGCTGTTATGGTTCCAATGTATGAAACCCTTCAAAGAACTTTGAGGCATTGTTTACCTTAAAGAATCTTTATTCGAGTAGCAACACATCGGCACGTACATAGTCCAAGCCAAAATCTGGCTTTCCCTCCTCTTACTAACAGTCATAAATCACATTCTCCAATTAGTTTGAAATGCTGGCTTTCCACCCAGTTCTTCATCCCGCCATGTCTTATCATCTCTTATTACAAACAGCCTTGGTTCTCACCATTATACAGTATTGTTTTGTCTAACTAATCTCCCATGCACATTCCTCCTCCTCCCCCCCAGTATCATCTAATTCTGACTCTAACAGTAAAACTTAAAGTAAAGGAAAATGGATGCATCTCCATATGTTGTCAAAGCAAGAACATCCGATGTTAGCAGCGTTGACAGTGGCTTAAAGTAACAAGATTAGAATAGGTTAATTAGTTAATTATTAGTTCTAATGCATTTCAAAAATTATTACAGAATTAGTTTTAAAATCAAGTTAAAACATAATTTCAGGTAAACATGTTGACATAGTAAAATATTTGGAAATATACAGTATTTTTCACTTTTTTCTTTTGCTTGCATCCAGTAATGATAATCATTATTCTTCTCTTTCTCTTCTCTTTCTCATAGGCTGCTATATGGCAAGCCCTTAACCACTATGCTTATCGGGATGCTGTGTTTTTGGCAGAGAGACTGTATGCAGAAGGTATGAATCTGCTCTAAAATAAAGATTAGCACTATTTGTAGAATTCTTAAAATAGTCTGAAGCTTTTTTTCAGCATTATCCATTAAGTCGTAAATGGTAATGTGGTCTGATAGATAGTATAGATGGTATCTGTATACAGCTAACTAGTGGTATAGGAGTCCTCCTGTGCTTGAAAATATATTTTTAATTGACAGCATTCTGAGTATATAGTCCAGTGAAGGTAACGGCAATTTTTCTTATTTTAAAAAAAGCCAACATTTGGGCTTTTTTGACCATTCAGCCCTCAGCTGGAAGGAGGTCTTACTCTGTAATCTAGTTGTATGAAAATTAGACAACATTTTAAAGTTGTAGAAAGTACTCTTGTATGCTGAAAGGTACTTTATTGTATTATATTATTTCATCCCAAAGATGCTTTTTCACAAGGCAACTGGACTTTCTTGTTTTTCTTTGAAGACATTTTGCTTCTCATCCAAGAAGCACAAAAATGGGAGTTATCAGAACCCTACACCACCAAGCTGAAGACCTGCCTACCAGCAAAGATGGGAAAGAAAAAGAACTAAAACATCAAGGAAACCCTCAGAACTTGTGGCTATCCCAAGTGAGCCTTCATCAAATCCCAAAAAAGACCCAGCAGGAGCTCCTCCATAACAGACAAAGAAGAAAACAATAAATGAAGCAATGTAGTCATTCCATATGTTGCAGGAATATCAAAAAAGCTCAGGAGGATCTTCAGCCAACACAACATACATGCACACTTCAAACCCAAGAATACACTAAGGCAGAAGCTTGTCCACCCCAAGGATAAACTGACACAAACTGAGCAACGTGGTATATGCAGTACAATGCAGTGAGCCATGTGTAGATCTGTACATTGGGGAAACAAAACAACCACTCCATAAACACATGGCACAACATAGGAGAACAAACCCATCAGGACAAGATTCAGCAGTCCATCTGCATTTAAAAGACAAAGGCCACTCTTTCGAAGACAGCAAAGTCCACATTTTGGACAGAGAGGACCACTGGTTTGAAAGAGGGGTCAAAGACGCCATCTATGTCAGAATTGAACAGCCCTCTCTCAACAGAGGGGGAGGGATACGACAACATTTATTTCCAGTCTACATCATTTATTTCCAGTCTACAGCACAGTCCTTTCAACAGTTCCGTGGTTCATCAGTATTTTCTTGGTGGTATGTCAAACTGAGGCTTCTGGAGACAGATGTTAAGGATGGTTTCTTACCATTTAGAGCTAAGTATGGAACATCCATTTTATTTTTTTGTAAGTGGCCTTTATAAATTATCCAACCAACTAGCCGTTCTTAAACCTCCCCTAAGCAAATATAAGTAAAATTCAATGTTTTCTGTCCAGTGAGAAATGTATCCTTTCTGTCCAGGGAGAAGAAAGAACCATTAAAGGTTGTTTATCAATCAAGATTTATAATCCAAAATGTTCCATCATATCAGGCAATAGTATATGTTTCTTCTACAGGAAAATAGTTCCACAATACAGTTCTGAAAGTCAGTATTTGTGTTCATAGTTCAGACAGGCCAATTTTAGAGTAGTATTATCGTCTCTGCCACACAGATAAGCAGCCCCCAAGTCTGTTCCTTTTTCTCAGCTGCAATTCTCAAAAATAAAAACTTCCAAGGCCAGCCAGAGTCTTATCTAATTCTGGGCTTCAAGCCAGGTTTCTTTTAGGCATAATAAGTTGTAGTGCCGTAATTCACCACTAGATGTCATTAACCTGTTTTAATTTATATTGTAAACTTTTCAATTCTTTTTTTTAAAAAAAGGTCTTAAAAGCACTTTTAGTCCCCAAATTTCCAAGTCTCATATATATATAAAATTCCAAATTAGTCTTGGAGATTTCTCCATTTTCCCCAAGTAACTAATTTGCTGCTTTTCTTTTCCTGAGGGAATGGGGCGGAAATTCCCTTTCCCTCATTGGGGGGAGTGCTTTGGGCAGATTTTCAGGAAGAGGTCTTAAAGTCATAAAGAGAGGCTGAGGTCTCACCCAGTTTCATCTACATTGCTGTAAGATTGCTTTTTAGTGCTTGTTGTCTTCCGTTGACAGCAGCTTCTGACTGGCTATGCGAATGTAGCCAGTCTTTCCCCCGCCGGTTTGGAGGGCTTCCTCAGATCAAACAGGAGGGCTGCCACCCCCACTCCCCGCGATCAACGAGGGTCCCATCCTTGCTTGTCGCCTCTACGTGGTGACATTCAACCCTTTCCAGGGTCCCCCAGCAGGGTGAAATCAAACGCGAAAGACAGAGCCCCATCTTCCTGCATCTGCATCGCCGCGACGTCAAAACCGGAAGCCCTTTCAACAGTTCCAAGAAGGCTCCACACTTATTTGCATTAGTCAGGCGACCCTGATGACACAGATAAACCTCCAGGTGGCCTCAACAACTCTCTAAAAGAATGCAAATGACCAGCTTTCTGCAAGGAGTATAAATCCTTCCATTCCCCACCATCCAGTCAGAGCTGAAGAAGCTTCTTGAATGAGAAGTGAAACGTCTTCAAAGAAAACCTAGAAAGTCCAGTTGCCTCATGAAAAAGCATCTTTCGGACAACTATGACCTGGATGACTGAGAATCTCCATAGACATATATTATTTCATATTTACATACAGGTAATCCCCGAGTTGAGAGCATTCCCTTCGCGAACGTTCAAAGTTATGCGATAAGCGCCCCCTAGTGCTTATGAGCAAATCCTGAAATTACGAATGTTGCCACACCACGACAGTCATTCACCCTTACAATCGACCGCAGTGGCAATGCAACATTCACCCTGGTTATTCCCTCCCCACCCCCACCCCGGGTCTCCCTAGGCACTAGGCCTTCAATACTCACCCTGTGAAGATCGAGATCCTTCGCTTTCTTGGCTGCTTCAGGCCTTCGGTGCATTCGCAGAGAATGGAGGCCTAAAGTAACGCAAGATCACGCGAGATCAGTGGCGCGAGATCTCACACTACTGATCTTGTGTGTTCTCATGCTACTTTAGGCCTCTGTTCTCTGCAACAGAGAACGGAACCGAAGCCAGGGGACACTTCTGCGTACCTCCAGAGGCTGGATCCGGGCGCCGGAGGCCTTTTCCAGGCTGCTGCTGCCCGGATCTGAGGCCGGGGGACGCTTCCATGTGCCTCTGGAGGCTGGATCTGGGCATCGGCCTTTTCCAGGCCACTACCGCCTGGCTTTGAGGCTGGGGGACGCTTCTGCGTGCCTCCGGAGCCAGGTGTCGGAGGCCTTTTCCAGGCTGCTGCCACCCGAAAATGGGCCTCCGGAGGACCGCAGAAGCGTCCCCTGGCCTCAGATCCGGGCAGCAGCAGCCTGGAAAAGCCCTCCAACACCTGGATCAGGCCTCTGGAGGCACGCGGAAGCATCCCCCAGTCTCACTTCCGGGCAGCAGCAGCCTGGAAAAGGCCTCCGACGCCTGGATTGGGCCTCCAGAGACACGTGGAAGTGTGCCCTGGCCTCACTTTCAGGCCGCAGCGGCCTGAAAAAGGCCTCCGATGCCTGGATCCAGCCTCCAGAGGCACGTAGAAACATTCCCCAGCCTCAGATCTGGGCAGCAGCAGGAACCGCAGCAGAGAGGAGATGGACCTTTTCAAGGTGAGTCCGGTGTGGCATGAAGGGAGGGGGAAGCATGAAGTATGTTAGTGGGTCGGGGAGGCCTTGGGGGTCTGTTCCACCACTAGACCCTCCCTGGCCTTCCCCACCCTGAGATACCTCATATTCACTTAATGAACCGCATGCGTCTTAAC